ATTGGTTGTGATACTTTACATGACGTCCTCTACCCCGGAACGTTTCCGCTATCGGTTTCGGGGTGTGACATTAGGTGTCTAAGCCCATAACTATTATTGGTATGTATTCGACCCGGGAGTAACATGGTCCATTTGGGTTGCATATCATCAGGACAATTTGTTAGGATGGACTTTTAAGAGAAGGTTATTTATGGTTTATTAATATATTATAAGTTATAATATATTAATATGAAATCATATGTTTTAATTAGTATTGATCAAAAATTAATATAGAACTAATTTAGTGATCAAAAGAGACTAATTAAATCTATGGGGACTAATTATGGTAATTAGTTATATTTATATGTGTTGGGCTTATGATCCATGTTGGATCAAGTTTATGAATGGATACATAAAGAGTTGGGCCACATAGACCATGGATCATAACACCCATGGGTATGGATTTGGGTTATACCCATGACTCGTGGAATCCAACATATAAATGTGCTACTTCATGGCCAAAACGTGTACACTTTCTTCTCTTGGTGAAATATGGTGGTTTTTGGTGCATGGAATTCTCTCTCAATTGCTATCGTTGTCCATGATGTGTTGTGACTTCATTTGAGGCTTCCACACTATTGGGGCTAAGATCTTTAAGGCCAAATACACCAAGACTTCAAGCTCCATCAAAAGCTAGGTTATGCTAACTAGTATATTATATTTTATGTTAAATGCATGCTAGTTGTAAGCTTAATACCTTGGAAACCATTTGCATGTATAATTAGTGAAAACATAGATCCAAGGTATTTAGGGTTGTATGTGCACCATAGGATGTTGTATTATACCAAAACCCAACAATGTTATCTGTTATATGATATATGTGTACGGTATGTGGTAGTTTGGGGGAGCTCACTAAGCTTCGTGCTTACATTTTTAAGTTTTGTTTTAGGTACTTCAGCTAGCAAAGGGAAGGGCTCGGGATGATCGCATGGCACACACCACCATTTTCTTGTCTGGGAGATTTACTCTGATATTTGATATGATGACATATATTAATTTATTTTGAGATACACGGATTATGATTTTTATATGATGATGATGATATTTATGGTTTTATTAATGATTTAAAAAAAATTGGAATGTATTTTTGGGATGTTTCATACGCCATGCGTACGCCACCTTTGGCTACGTTCTGCGTATGAGCTGGGTACGCCCAACGTACTCCAAAACAAGTCTAACTTACCATTAAGTGCTTAACTGGTTAATCCACTAAGTCCACTTCTCATATTTGATCCTAAATGATGTCTTAACACGTAGAGTTGGCAACTTTACTCCTTTGCATGTCTTAATGGGACCCAATACTTGATTTTAACCAATAAAACCCATAATGAGAATCCTAAATCATGCATGGTCCAATGTTACACATAAAGATTGCATTTTTATGCAAAAGGAACCTCAAAAATGCTAAGATCTACCACTCCAAGATTTTGGAGTAGCTTATACTCTCAAGCATGACTTAAGGGACCATAAAATGCACAAAAACAATCCCTAACTAGATCTATCATATGAACCATCAAGTTAAGAGCTTTATACCTCTAAAATCTTTCCAAGTTGGTGATGATTCTGGATCCACAAACTCTAACCATACCAATGCAATTTCCAAGAGCTATTCTTCCTTCAAGATCACCAAAAACACTCTTAAAGATCCCTTCCGAGCTCAAAATGCTCAAAAGGAATTTAGGGTTTCGCTCTTAGGGTTTGGAGAGGTGGAGGCTGGTCATAAGAAGGTCCAAGAGCAATTTGATGTGTTTAAATAGTACGCAAACCCTAAAAATTAGGGATTGTCCAAGATGCACATATGCCATGCATACTTCACGTACGCTCAATGTACGTGGGTTACCTCTGCGACCAAGATATTGAGCTAGTACGCCCAACGTACTCCTAGCGTACGCCCAACGTACTCGGCTAGGGACCAAAATGCAAGAGTTTTAAGGCTAACGACAAAAAGGAAAAAAATACCAGAAATGAAAATGTTACACCTAGACTATAAATACACTTGTAAAAGAGACACAATGAGCACAATATTTAGACATATTACGAACCTAGAGCTAGGCAAACACTTGTACTCATATTTTTATCATCATCTCTATAACTTATATTCAAATCAATAAGATCTAACAAGGCAGGTGATCATTATCACCCCCCAAGGTTTTATGCCGGAGATCCTATCAAGGATCAAGGGCTTTCCTTGTAAACCACTTGTGTCATTTTAATCTCAGTTTGATACTCATATTATTCATAGCACCACAGCCTCTCATGTAATTTGGTTGATATCCATTTGATTGATTTTTAACCAAAACAATTTGGCGCCCACTGTGGGGCCGTAGTGTTTATAATCCTTGAAAATCATGTCTACACAACCAACCATTTCTTCTTCCTCTGTTCCCTCCATTCCTTCGAAAAACCTTCCTCATCCTCTAAGTGGACTCCTAGCCAAATGAAAGCTTCTGATGTGAAAAAGAAGAACACTCCGCCGGTTGCTCCAGGATCCCTTGGATCCCAAGATCCTCCTGCCTCGGTCTCTAATAATGAACACTTCTCCATGATGAAGTCGTTGACACACCAGGTGGTTCAACAACAGGAGGAAAATAGAACGCTACTTAAGGAAGTAGAAAGGATAAGGGTGAAGATCTATAAACCCCAAGAGGCAACACCCTCGACCTTGCAACCAAGGATCCTGAATTTCGAAAATACAAGATCCCCAGGGAAATGCCTCGAACCAATAGCTCCAACATCCGTTGCTACCCCAACAGGGAGAGCAATCCCAAACATCCAAATTCATATGATTTAGGATCTTGATGAGACCTTCAATATCCCTAATAATAGAAATACCAATAAATTCTTTAACGGTAACACTATTAATACTAACTCTGAGTTCAACTGCTATTTTGTCCTTCCAACTATTGTTTAGTTCTTGGCATTCAAATTCTATTTCGTTTAAAGTACAAAATCAACCAAAGAGCATACCACATAATAAAAGGATATCACTATGTATGTTACAAACTAAAAAAACGAAAAAAATAATAATTGAAACTGTAGATGGGCATGCCATTTGTGGTGTACAAACTTCTAACACACATGTGCGGCATCAACAACTTGTAAACCTAGGTTTCAGACCCCGTCTTCTTTTTCATCATTCCAACTATTATTTTGTTCTTGGCATTCTAATGTTATTTCGCTCAAAATATCAAATCAACGCAAAAATAACATACCACATAATAAAATGATATCTTTATACTTATTACAAACTAAAAAAGCTAAAAAAAAGTAATTGAAACCGTAGATGGTGGTGTCATATGAGATGTACAAACTTTTAATACACATTTTTTTTTTTTTTTGCATTAGCAACACTTCTACACTGCATGTGGCAGACTCCGTTTGCTTTGTGTTTTTTTCCCCTGTTGTTGTGCAAAAAATGAGAAAATTCGGTAAATGACCAAATGTAGGGTAAATTTGAAGAAAATGACCACAAAAATGAAGATTTCAGAAAATAACCATAGGTTTCGCATAGGGGTTCTGCGGAACCATAAACACGTATGCGGAATGTGAACACCTCTGCGGATCTTGGTTTTTTTCATTTTTTTCGTTTATTAATATATTTTTTTAATCACATAGGGTATTATATTATTATTATGTTAAACAAAATTGTTTTCGTTTTCCCTTCTCTTATTTAATTACCCGTTTATAAAAGTTGTGTTTAATAAAAATTATACAACTATTCTGTGTTTTTCATAAAATTACACACACCGGTATTCTGAATAATAAACATACTTTAAGTAGGTTACAAAACATACTTTAGGAAACATAAACATACACACTTCATAATAAACATACTTTGAAATAAATTTCATTGAAGGCTCTGCAGATCCTCTACAGCTCTGCAGAATGTTTGTTTTTTGATTTCTTTTTTAATTTTTTTTCGTTGTTTATTGCGTTCATTTTCGTTTGATGATATAATTTTTCTAAATACACTAATACCTTATGTGATTATTATGTAAAAAATTCTACACAAAAGGTTAAAAATCATGAAATGTTTTATTTAATACGTTTGCCTCTGAGGAACCAAGACGCCTCTGCGGATCTTGAGTTTTTAATTTTTTAATTTTGCGTTTTTTCGTTTTTTCTATTTTTTGTTTTCGTTTATTAATATTAGTTTTTTTAATACACCAATACCTTATGTTTTATGTAAAATTTTTGACAAAAAAAGGTTAGAAATAATGAACTTATATTTAATATCAGTCCACGAAACTGTTTGGGAATCCACAGAACTGTTATCAGTGGATCAATGTACACATCTACGAATCAATGTTCACATCTGCAGATCTGTGTACACCTATGCGGATCAGTTATAGAAGTTATAGACGTATTTTAGTGTGTTTTTGTGAGTTTTAGTTACCACTAGAAGTTGTTTTTTCATTGTGTTTGTGGAGAGTGATTTGTAAAATGAGTTTTATTATTTTGTGTACGGGAGGGTCTTGGTAGTTAGTTAATGGAGATGAGGTTTACATTAGAAACAATGTGAAAAGCTATGGTTTAAATCTTCCTCCTTAAATTGACCATGAAATGTTATTACAAATTGTTAGAAGTAAGTCAGGTGTGCTAAATAGTCATATATGTTTGTATTTTAAGCACCCGAAGTTAGGGTATTTCATGGAGCTTAGAGATAAAACTGATGTATTTCAATTGAGACATGTAATGTCTAAATCAAAGAAGACGGTGTATTTTTATTTAACGGTGGTAGGTGAAGAAGCTGAAGAACAAGAAGTGGTCCGAATGATAAATTAATTGTCAATCAAACCTCTAACACCGAAAAAGAGCTAGCGTTTGCTGTTAAATTGAAAGCTATTAGAGAAAAGTTTCGGATAAAGCTTGAAAAATCTTCAAAATCTCGGTACCAAGTTATTTGTATGCAAGAAAATTGTCATTGGCGTTTATACGCATCTCTCATTAAAGGAACAAAAATGTTTGAAATTAAGACGTTTAAGGACGAGCATACGTGTTCTTCATTGCTTATACACCTAAATCATAGGCAAGCAAAGAGCGAAGTTGTGAGGACCATAGTACATGACATTATGGATCAAGTAAGTTTGAGAGTTTGGAAGCCGAAAAATATAATTAGAGATATGAATGCTTTGCTACAAATAAATATGAGTTATTCACAAGCGTGACATGCTAGAGAATTTGCTCTGGGATTGATTATGGGGACCCCTGAAGAAAGTTTCTCCAAACTTCCAATTTATTTTCACAATCTGAAAAAACATAATCCTGGTACTGTGCGTACATAAAAACTGATTCGGAAGATCGTTTTGAGTATTGCCTTTTCACTATTGGATGCGCGGTAACATATTTTTAGATATTTGTTATTTTCTTAAATGTTTATAAACAAATCATACTGTTGATATATTAATGGTTTTTATATCGTTGCAGATACGTGTTTTCAGAGAGTGTTGTAGAAAAGTTATTATCATGGATGATGCTCGTTTCAAGGAAAAGTACAAAGGCACCATCTTGCATGCAGTGGTCATGGATGACAACAATCAGATCTTGTCTATTGGGTATGAAATTTGTCCAAAAGAGACTACATATTCTTGGACATGGTTTCTTGAAAAACTACATGAATGCATTGGTGATGTGGAAGGTCTGACAATGGTCATAGATAGGGCACCCGCAATTGTTGTAAGTATTCAAAATGTTTTTCCAAATGCTCAACATGGATTGTGTGCTTTTCATCTAATAGTAAACATAGTCCACACCTTTGGAAAAAACAAAAAAAATAGCAATTTTGTTTTGAAAGCGGGTAAGAGCTTACAAAATCACCGAGTTTGGATTCTATTAGGGGGGGACTTTGTAATATAAGAGATGATGTAGCGACATATCTCAGTCAAATTCCACGTGAGAAATGGATGGAATACGAAAACAAATCAAAGTTTCTGTTGTTTGATTTGAATAAATTAAGTTTATTTCATAGTATTTTATTATAAAGGTTGTATGCTTATGTTTTCTAAAGTATGTTTTGTAACCAATAAAAAATATGGAATATTTGTATAATTTTAATTAGGTTATTTATATGCACCAGTTTGTATTACATTATTTATATGTATTTGATTTGTATTAGCTTATTTACGAAACGAGTTGAGTTAACTTCTACTTTATTCTATATAACATAAAATACAAAACAGTAAAAATACATGGAAAACATATATCAGTATCAAACGTATTACATAAAAATTTCATTATTTTTAAATTTTTTTTGTCAAATTTTTACTTAATAATCACACATGGTATTAGTATATTTAAAAAATATATATATTAATAAACGAAAATGAATGCAAAAAAAAAAAAAAAAAAAAAAAAAAAAAAAAAAAAAAAAAGACACGAAAAAGCACAAGAAAAAAAAATTTTAAAAAATCAAAAAACAAAGATTCCGCGGAGATTTTAATAAAGTTTATTTCAAAGTATGCTTATTATGAATGTTATATGTTTATGTTTTCTAAAATATGTTTTGTAAACTACTTAAAGTAATTTTATTATTCAGAATACTAGTGTGTGTAATTTTATAAAAAGCATAGAATATTTGTATAATTTTTATTAAACACACATCTTTTATAAACGGATAATTAAATAATAAAAAAAGAAAAACGAAAACAAATTTTTTTACATAATAATCACATAATACCTTATGTGATTAAAAAAATATTAATAAACGAAAACAAACAAACAAAAAAAAAACGAAATAATGAAAAAAAAGATGTAAAAAACCAAGATCCGCAGAGGTGTTTACATTTCGCAGATGTGTTTATGGTTCCGCATAACCTGTGGTCATTTTCTGAAATATTTATTTTTGTGGTTGTTTTCTTCAAATTCACCGTACATTTTGATCATTTACCGAATTTCTCGTAAGAGATTATATACATAATACTATCAGATTTTAAGTTAAATGATAAAGAAGAAATAAAAAACAAGGTTTATAATAATAATAATAATAATAATAATAATAATAATAAAAACTAACTATTATTCGGAGCCACTATTGGAGAGAAATTTGTATGCTTCTATCTCCCATAAATGACGTAATTTTTTTTTTAATTTTATATATTTTTTGATAATAAGCCATTAAACGGTAACGGTATTAAATTTTAAATATCACGGTATTACCGTACTAACCAATATATATATATATATATATATATATATATATATATATATATATATATAAGGTTAGATTATTTTGTTTTTGATAAGTATTGTGTGCCCATGTAAATGATTGTAGGCCAATCATTTGTGGTAATTTAAGAAAGTGATTTTCTTTTTAAATTAAATATAAAAAAATCAAATAAATGAGGTTTAATCAATTGACCGGTCAAACAATGGTAGAATGGTATTTTGTCCCGTCATTTAATTAGGAAAACGGTGGATAATATGGAATGATCAACCGATAATCCCAAATATCTCGCTTACTCTCATAATCAAGAACCCAAATCCTTAGGAGGTTAAAAAACAATTCGATTTATTGTAATCAGTCTTCAAAAATCGGAAGATCGTTTGTAGGTTTTCCCTATAAATATCGACATTTAACCCTAGAAAACGAAATCGACATTTGGTGGTTATATTAACGGTATTCTACAACAATGAGGAGTACACGATCCAGTTCATTTAAGTCAAAGTTCAAGAACACAGTAGAAACGGCGTTGAATCTTGAAGACGACAATGATGATTAAGTTGCTGAAACTGAAGGTAATAATTTTTTTTTGTGTTATTTAATGTTTATTTAGTTCGAAAAATGTAGTAGAATTTAGGAAGTGTTTTTGAAAATCTTTTATATGCATGTATGATTTGTGGTCTGGAAGAAAAAATGTGTCATTTTTTCGTATTTTATTAAGAATAGTTACTGTGTATCGTGTTCTGCAAGAATGTTCGGTTTATATGATCGTGGCCATGGTTGTTATTCTGCTAGAATAAGTATGCTTGTTTTACTGGTTAAAATTGTAAAGTAAATTGCTATATTTAAGTTGTTAATTAGCTTTTAAACAGGTTTTAAATTCTAATGGAATCACAATTTGTATATGATTTCTAAAACTGAAAAAATCGTAGTTATTGTATGTTGAATAATGTTACATGTTTCATATTCTGATAGAATGCTCTGTGTATATGAACCAGAATAATGTTGATATTATGGTAGATTTGTAATATTTGGAAGAAAAATGTGTCATGTTTTCGTATTTTATTAAGAAACTTGATAATACAATATAATTCATCAAAAATGTTCTGAACTTTAAAGAAAGATAAATGTGTATGGTATTCTGCAAGAATGTTCTGTTTATATGATCGTGACCATGGTTATTATTATGCTAGAATAAGTATACTTGTTTTACTGGTTAAAATTGTAAAGTAAATTGCTATATTTAAGTTGCTATATCGTAGTCATTGCATGTTGAATAAGGTTTCATTTTTTATATCTAATAGAATGTTTTGTGTATGTCAACCTAAATATTGTTAATAATCTGGTAGAATTGTAATCTAATTTTTTATATTTAAATAGTTAATTAGCATGTTTAACTGAAAAATTCATAGTTATTGTATGTGGAATAAGTATGCAAAAAACACATTCTATTAGAATGTAATATGTATAAGAACTTGAACATGGTTGATATTCTGATAGCATAAGTGTATTTGTTTTACTAGTTAGCATTGTAAGATAAATTTCTATACTGAAGCAGTTAAGTAGCATTTTATATATAATTTTAATTCTAATGGAACCACAGTATGTAGATGATTAATGAATGATACTGAAGAATTGATAGTTACTGTATGTAGAATAAGGTTACATGTTTCATATTCTGGTAGAATTGTAATCTAAATTTTTATATTTAAGTAGTTAATTAGCATTTTAAAATGAAAAATTCATAGTTTTTTATGTGGAATAAGCTTAGATGTTTCATATTCTAAAAGAATGTTCTGTGTATATGAAACTGAAAACGGTTGATATTCTGCTAGCATAAGTCGACTTGTTTGACTATTAAACACTCCTAAATAGAATGTGATATTATATATGAGTGTGAAATTTGATTGTATGAATCTGATAGAATTCTAAATTAAATGTATTTGATTCTTGTAGAGTTAGCCTACTTGTTTTATTAGTTAACTCTGTAATGAAAATTTATGCTATCTATTGTTTGTTGTAGCAGATCAAATTCAGGAAGAAGAACATTTGAACCGAGAAAGAAGGTCCAAGAAAAAACTTGATAAATCAGTTGAACAAGAGACAACTCCTAAACCTTTAAATGCACTAATTTTGGAAAGAGAGATAAGGTCGAAGAGGCAATTTGATAGAGTTCCAATTGTAAAACATTTAAAAAATAAGGGAATTGCTGAAACTGTCAAAGAAGAAAAAGAAGATAATGTTAGAAAAACAAATAAGGAATACCCACCTGGTTTAAGATACCTTCCAACTAGAATGAAATGTGATAACATCACTGCAGCTGTTATGGGAATGTCGCCGGAACAGAAACAAGCAATCTTGAGAATGGGTTTTGGATTAATTCTGCAAGTGAATATTACAAGTTATCCGGGACAACTTAGCTACTATCTTTTAGATGTTTATGATGCAGATAGTAAAAGACTTGTCCTACAAAACTCTGTTATTGAGATAACAGAACAAACAGTGCATGATATGATGGGGTTGTCATTTGGTGGAGAAGACATCAATGAGTTACCATTGTGTGATAAGGGAAATCAAATTCTAGAAGAATGGAGGGGACAATATAGTGGTGATAAGTTCAATGGTGAGGAGTATTTAAGAAGGATTCAGGCTACAACGAAGGATAATTTGATGTTTAGGCTGAATTTTTTGACCCTATTTGTTAACAACTTCATAGAGTCAATGTTGATGGGAACAATTCAAATAAAAGTGGTAAGGAAGTTGGTGTTGGTAGAAGACTTCTCAAAGTTAAATTGGTGTAAATATATGCTTGATTGTTTGGGATCTAGAAAAAAACTATGGAAAAGGGATGACAAATCAAGCTACTACAGTGGTCCTATTACACTTCTGATTGTAAGTTTGAAATATTTTTATATGTATGTATATATTTCGTATTGATTTATTATTGATGTATTGATTAAGTTAATGTTTTTTTTTTCAGTTGGTGTACGTGTATAACATGAAGTATTCTATCAAGATAGACAAAAGGCTTCCTTTTATTGGGCATATAAATGGTGCTAAATTGTTAGAGGTTCAAAAATTAGAAATCAGTTTGGGAGGGTTCGGGAGGTAGTTTCGGGATGAGCATGATGGTGTCGATATGGGCGATGAAACAGGAGCTGAAGAACAGCAAATGCTAAGCTTTAAGAGGGATTTTGGAGATGAAGAGGTAATATTATGGTAGATTATGAAGTAAATATTCTGAAAGTAATAGTTAATGATATATTCTAATAGAATATATAGTACACATTTTTGTAATGTTATCATTTATTAATTATATGTGTTTCAGGCGTACGCAGCTGTTATAGAGCATAGTTATGGGGTTATTGTAACAGAGAAAAGTACTATGGAGGTTGCGTTGAAGGATGGGTTGTTAATATTCCCTCATAGTGTGGTGTTGAATGAGTGGATGGAGAAAATGAATGAACTTTTTAAGGGAGTGTTTGAAGGGGCAGGTAACAAAAAAGTGCATGAGTCTGCCTGCTTTAATGAGGTAAATATGAATGATGTAAGTGATGGCGGTGAAGGAAATAGTTCACCTGTTAAAGGGTTGATACTTACTGAAGTAAATACTGAAAAGGAAGACAATTATACCACACCTGTTGATACGACTTCTTTAACAATGAATCAGTTTCATCGACTTCCAGGGGTGAATGAGCAAATAATCAAGTTGTTGGAGGAAACTGAGTTACAAGTGTATAAAAAGAAAAAGCAAATGTCAGTAATAAGTGGGGATAATCTGGTAGGAAGAAATATAGGAGAAGCTGTTGATAATGTTGGAGGATATGATGATGATGACAAAAGGGAAAAACGTATTCCTAAAAAAGCAAAAGTATTTCATTCGCCCTATATTGAAAGAATTGTTAAGGTTGGGGAAAAACTGTCTAAGGATGAAACATGGATATGCAATTCAGTTTTTGCATCTACAAGAGATGATGGGTATGTATTTATATATATGTTTATATATGTGTCACTTATTATATTTCTATAATTTTAAAATGAATGTTTTAAGATGTTATACATATTTTTTTCACAGGGATGAGATTTGGGACATTGTAACAGGTCATTTGCTGCACCAGGGTTTTGCATATCAATTTAATCATGAAATGTTTTTGCATTCTAAAATAGTTGATTGTTGGGCTGCGTTTTTAAATAAAATGGATAATCTGGTAGGAAGAAATATAGGAGAAGCTGTTGATAATGCTGGAGGATATGATGATAATGACAAAAGGGAAAAACGTATTCCTAAAAAAGCAAAAGTATTTCATTCGCCCTATATTGAAAGAATTGTTAAGGTTGGGGAAAAACTGTCTAAGGATGAAACATGGATATGCAATTCAGTTTTTGCATCTACAAGAGATGATGGGTATGTATTTATATATATATGTTTATATATGTGTCACTTATTATATTTCTATAATTTTAAAATGAATGTTTTAAGATGTTATACATATTTTTTTCACAGGGATGAGATTTGGGACATTGTAACAGGTCATTTGATGCACCAGGGTTTTGCATATCAATTTAATCATGGAATGTTTTTGCATTCTAAAATAGTTGATTGTTGGGCTGCGTTTTTAAATAAAATGGAAAAGTACAAGGATGAATCATCGCTTTCAAGATTTTTCTTCGATACAACTATTGTGGTATGAATTTATTTTGTAAAAAAAATTTTAATTCAAATTTATTTCTGTAGAATTAATATTGATGTTGAGTTGGGGTTTTTCAGATAGAAGATATATTGAATGAGCTAAAGTCGGAAGATATGAAATGTAGGCTTATTGGTACTTTATTGCGAATCTACACTAAGAAATTTGATGTGAAGCCAAGTTTTAGAGACGTTGCACTTGTAAGATTATTTTATAAATATAATATTTGTGGCATCAATTAATATTAACTTAACCTCTTCTTTTAATGTGTACAAGGTTTTCTTCCGAATAGTTGATGATGGAAAGTATTACTTACTCATCTTTGATCTGAGATCAAGTTTGTACTACATAGTAGATCATGTGAAGAGAAGAGGAACTTTGGAAAGAAAGTATGGCATGATACCAAACCTGGTGGTAAGATAATCAATAAATTTCTGATTAATAATTTTCGATTCTAAGGAATATTATAAGATTATTTTTTATGTATCTATTGTAATTAATGCCAGAAAAAACTGTTTTGCAACTACTTGACATCACAACATCATCCAATGGCAAAAACGTTAACTTTTAAAGCAGCACGTGTGATTAACATATCTTGGCTAGTTGAAAAATCTGGAACAGAATGTGGAATATACCTCATAAGGCATATGGAAACGTACATGGGGGAATATGAAGGGCGTTGGGAGTGTGGTCTTACAGGTAAAATGCCTGCTGATGTGAGTGCTACAATTAAGCTAAGGACGAAATAAATGGCAAGGTTGTTGACATCTGATTTCAATAAGTTTAAGAGTATGATAGTTAAAGATATTGAAGCATTTTGTAAGCTTGATATTTTGGAACAAGATATGCTTCTAAGAGAGTAAACTGAAAACAGGAAGAAAAAAAGAAAAACAAAGGGTCGTAGGTAAGAATTTGGCGTGATATTTAATAAGTTGACAGATAAACTTTGATATGTCATGAGCTGAACTTGTTTTTTTTGAATGTTGAAACATGACTCTACCTTATGTTAGATGTTTGAAAAAGTAGATTGTCTATCAGACGTTATGAAGTAATGTTATCAGTAGTATTCGATATATGTTATAATGGAATGTTGATTTTCGTATAATGGGCGTCTTGATGCATTGTTTAAATTCTGGGATGATGATGTTGTGCATTGTGAAAATCAAAGGTTTTTGTTAGTAATGTAGTTTTCATATAATGCAAATTAATATTACTAATGCATATGTTGATGTTTTTTTGTTTCTAATAATCTTTTTAATATAATTCAATGTGGTGGTTAATAATGTTTTGTGACTATTGTGAATAGAATATTTTTTTTACAAATTATATGATGATGATGCAAGGTAGTATTTGTTATGATTCTGATAGAATACGTTATGTAGATATTATGAAATAGAATATAAACATAATGAATTCTTGTCTACAAATTGCATGTATCGTTTGTATATTACAGTAAATAATAAAACATTTTTGTTAACATTAAAATCAAACTTAAAATGATTGAAAGAAGTTGTATATGTTGCTGTAAATTATACAACTGATGAAAATTTTGTATTAGAATTTTTGAAAATAATGAAGTTATACAGTCAATGGAATGAATTTTTCTATTACGTTTTATGAGTATTTTTAAGTAATAAGATAATATAAATATTGTTATGTTGATTGACAATGTCATCGTCAATAGTAATAAAAGTGAATACTTTATTGAACGATATAAAATATAACAATAAGTGTGAATCGACAGAATTAAATCAAATGTCATTCTAATAAACTTAAAAAAAAAAAAAAAACAAGGAACTTATTTCTTGGTGTTCTTTAGAGGACAATTTCTTTTGTTATAATGAACCATCTGCTCACATGTAGCACATTTTCTCTTTGGTTTCGAGATTTCCTTCTCAATCATCTCTTTTGTAGATTTTAATCTTTTTCCACGACTACCGCAGCCTTTGTTACAAATATCTGTAGGATTTTGAATGTCATTAACATCAGATTCTACATCAGGAACAACCACACCTAAAAGCTGCTTGAAATGATCTGCTCTGGTCGGTAGATCATGATTTGGACAGTCGTCTACGAATTTTTTTTTCAAGTTATTATGTTCGTCAAGGTATAACTTTAACTTTGCTGCATCGTAGCTCAAAAAAGACACATAACGGTCAACAGTTGAAAAAATATCAATAGCAGTCATGTCAGAAGTAGAATCGTCAAAAGAATTATTGAAGCGTCTTTTCAGTAATTCTGTTGGAATGACATCCCTACGCCAACGTTTCAAAATATACTTTTCAGGAATTTGTTCGATGCCATAAAACTTAAACACACAGAATATGTGTATGCATAAGATACCTAAATGTTCAAAATGCATACAAACATTTGAACGAACCATCTTTGGTTGAGTGTGTGACCTGGAAAATATAAGATGATTAGTGAAAATAATTAAGTTGTAAATTTTTAGTGTTTAAATGTAAATGATAAAATGACAATTAATGTGAAAAAAAACATACCGTGTATTCAGTATCCCTTATAAGACAATCGTAATTGTATTCCTCATCTTTGTCATCAACATCGACATCATTTGTTTGCCTAATAGTTATGTTCTTTCTTTTCTCCATAACAATAATCGTGTCAACACCGTTGGAAGATATCACATTCTTTTGGAAACAATTATCTTCAGATCTTGATATCTCCTTCTGAACCTGATAAAAAATCTTTCGTGTATATACATTTGAAGCATGAGGTTCATACGGAGTACGGGTAATGAATTTAGGAAAAATGGTGGCAGTATTAAAATCATTGAGAATTTGGTTATGTCATTGTCATTCCATAACTGATTCAAATGTCATCATAAACATAACAAGATAAGAACCGCTTAGAGTCGTGGTTTGAAATGACCAATTCTGACTTGCGATGTAGTCTGCATAAGATCAGACATTGGAATGTGCTTGAAAAATGCGGGGATCCAAGATTTTCGCAATCCATGCATTGTATTCATCCAAGTGTTATCAGTAATTTTAAACTCCTCCAACATCTGACGCCACACATTTTCGAATTCATGTGGTTCCAGCTTAGAATTCCAAATTATAGAGTGAAAACGCTTTCGAAATTTTTGATTGGTTGTTGCGTCTTCAATTGATAAAATCTGTATAAATTCGTTCTGTTAGAATATGATATCATGAAGGTAGAATGTGGAAAAATAATTGTAGAATCAGAACAAAAGTAAGAGTTAAACCAATTGATTCTGTCAGAATATGATATAATTGTATAATCATAACAAAAAGTAAGAGTTAAAGACAATGGGTTTGTTAACATGAATTGATTCTGTTAGAGTATGAGATAACGAATGCAGAATTTTAAAAAAAATTGTAGAATGATAAGAAAAATTAAGAGTTAATGCAATTGATTCTGTTTAAAACAAAACATTCTGGCAGAATATGAGAAAACAATTGTAGAATCATACCAAAAAAATAAGAATAGTATTCTTTTTATGTATACCTTATTTGGCAACTTCTTCGTTATATGCCACATACATAACCTATGATGTGCCAATGGGAAAACCTTATCTATAGCTTTTTTCAAAGCTGGATCTTGATCAGATAAAACCAATTGAGGTTGTTTTCTAAAAGCTTTCAAAAAAGCTCTAAGCAACCATTCATAAGAAACTCCATCTTCTTTACTTAAAAGACCAACATCAAATGTTACACATTTTTTGTGATTGTCAATGCCAGTAAACGGTAGAAAAACCATATCATACCTATTTAAAAAATAAAATATTAGTTTACATAAATGGAAATAATGAAATTCTTATTGAAAAGTATTAAAGGTGATAAATACTTATTTATGCTAAATGTGGCATCGAATGATATAACGTCTCCGAATGAATTGTAATTATACTTTGCTGTTTCATCAGCCCAGAATAAAGAATTCAATCTCTTGTTCGACACTTTATACTCAAAAGTAAATGATGGGACATTTTTCTTCATATCATTCATCTTGTCAACAAGGAATTTCGCGTCCCTCCCACCTATGTAACAATTAAGATTCCTCCTAGCATTCTTGAAATCAGTAACCAATCCACCTCGAACCGATGGACCAACCTGAAGAGCACTATACAGTCTATGTGCTTTTACAGGACCAATGTTCTGTTTTGACAAATTATGAATGAAAATTTCTTGGGAATAATCAAGTTTTCTTTTTGAACGAGATAAGTGCATATTGCCTTTGCTAAACAACTCATGATTATGTCGCTCTACAAAATCACTCACGACATATGTAAGAGTACCGGGAATTATTTCTAAAACAACTTTCGCTTTACAATTCCTCCTAAATAGATCTTTCCTTCTTTGAGTCTTCTTATGCTGAATATCTAGAGTATCTAGTTTACTAGTAGTCGGATTACCTTCCCGATTGCACACAAGATGTCTATTTGTAATAATCCCATTTATTTTTTGGACTCTTCCAAGCCTGACATCAAAACCAGATTCTAATGCATATTTTCTATACATTGTTTTCTGCTTCACCATATGAATTAAATTTTGATGAAACTTTTGGTTTGATGTCATCTAAAACAATCGGAGTCCAATACAAGGTGCCACCAGGAGAAACATAATCATGAGTAACATGTGGTTGTCCTGCTTAAACATAGCAAATACAAAATTATTATGAAAGAATTATATAACTTTTATTCTGACACAATTTTATTTTTTCTGTAAAAAATAAAAAAAAATTCTGAATTGAAATTGGTACCTTCAATGAAATCAATATTAAACTTTGTATCTTCATGAGTAACATGTGGTTGTCGTGTTTAAAATAGAAAATACATAATCATTGTGAATGAATTATATAAATATTATTCTGAAAGCATTAACTTTTTTCTGTAGCAACTTCAGTATCATGAATTGAATTTATTACCTTCACTATAATCAATATTAACCTCTATATCTTCATCAACGAAGTGATTTTCGTCTTCATCATTATTTGCGTCCTCTGTATGTTCAGCAATGAAAGTATTAACAATATAGAATCTGAAAACAGAATGAAAAATTAAACAAAAAATCAAAAAACTAACCTAAATTAGGATTACTGCTTTCTCCTGTTTGAAATCCGTCATTATATAGTGTATCATTATCAGGAAAATCGAAATCTTCAATTCCATTGCCATCATCACTAGCCAAATAATGTTCCTCATACATATGATTATTGACATCTGCTTCTTGATCGCCCATTGCTAAGAAATTCCGAGAGTGTTGTCTATGCTTTGTTAGTTGAAAAATCAAAATATTTAAAAATGTCATACAAACTAGATAGGGATGAAAACGGATTCTATGCAAATTAAAAGCCTTGATATTAGGGATCATTGATAAAAATAAATGATTCCGATTTGATTTTTTTTTTTAAAAAACATGATAAAGGGAAAACATGAAAACGGTACTATATTCACATTTCAAATATAAAAAATTCCAACATTACATTATATTAACTACTTAACAATAAAATTATGTATTTTTTTAAAGAAAAGTTGCAGAATATTTTATTGACGAAAGTATTCTATTAGAATGATATATAAATATGCCTTACAAAACTCCGCATGTTATCGAAATGAAATAATTCTATCAGAATACTATCGCAAGTATGACTTATAAAACATATCAATTTTTGTTAACTCGAATCAATGCACGCATCAACAACTCTTGTTAACTCGACTCTACTATGATATTCTGTTGGAAAGATAACCTGTATGATCATATAACACATAAATATATCATAGAACACGAACAACTTATTAATTTTAACCATAATACTTAAAGAAAAACACATAGACTTCATCAAACAACAACTTTATTACACTGAACTGAAACTTGATAATACCATATAATTCATCAAAAAATACTTTTATTTTACTGAAATCAAACTAAATAATATCTAAAAACGTCCAATTTGATGAAGTTCTTGTAGTTCTATGATTTCTTCAATCCAGAAGGACAATTCCTGCTATCATGACCAACTCCAAAGCATGTTTTACATCTTCTTATTTTCTTCACAACTTTATTCACCGGATTCTTGGAATCATTGACATTACCCAAATCCTTCCCGGGATTTTGATCATCGTTTGCCTGGAATATTATCAAATTGAAGAAAAGGGTGTGTGGGGGAAGTTTGAAACAAAATCAGTATTATCGTTGACAGAAGCTTGTAAATATGTATCAATACCTGGTTCTGATTTCCAGAATGAACATCCATCGAATGAGTAACACAAATTGATCGGCAGAGTATGTATTCGAGAATTGTGATCTGTGTTTGTGGATCGGACGTTAAAATCAATTATATAGAGAAAATTACATTAAAGATAAATAAATCAATCAAAAAAAATTGCCTAATATGAAGGGATAAGATCCAGATTAAATAAGGAATTAAAATGAAAGATTACATAATTACCCTTATGGATTAAAAAAATTAATTAACAATTTGCTAAATTGTGATTGGTGCATTTAAGCACACACTACTTATTGAAAACATTTGAACCTAACTCTCTCTTGTGGTCATGTTCAAATCCTGTTCAAATCCTGGCACCACTCAGCCCTTGTGGCCATGGAGGTTAGCCTGCAGTGACTCCAGGGCATGAGACAAAGCTTTATGTTTGCAGCGGGGGATTAGTCGGTGCGCGAAAGCTGGCCCGGAAACCCTCGTTAGGGAAGTTCCCTTTCCAAAAAAAAACCTAACTCTCTCTCTCTCTCTCTCTATATATATATATATATATATATATATATATATATATATATATATATATATATATATATATATATATATATATATATATATATATAAACAAAATCATATTTTCCTTTACAATTTAGTCATTACACTTACTCAATAGTTATTACCACATTAAACTAAAAAACTAAAAAGTTAATAAAATTCTTTAGTAACTAATATAGTTATTTTACTAATTTATATTACTAGACAAGAAAGTTGTCTCATGTTGTTATTGCGGATTTTTAACTATTACAATTGAAAAATAGATAGAATTTGGTAATGTATCGTTACCAATCTGTACCAACCAAACTTGTTAGTAGCCAAACAAGTTGGTACCAATTTTACTTTGTACGGTACCGGTAGCAAAAAATTTATACCAAATAGAATTGGTACGGTACACGGTTTGACTAAAAATAAATTGGTACCGTACCATGTTCAACTCTAATACCAACATAAAGATATATCTTTATATTTACAAAATAAGAATGGAGAAAATGATTGGTGGCCACTTCAAATTTATGATTAAACTTGGAGGCCACTATTCATGGTGTCAGAAACCTAAACGCTTCTTTCATCATATGAATCCACACAGTAATGAGCGCTTTAAGTTGGGATTTGTTGGTTGATACCTAACCTTCTCACTTAGTGGGGTGGGGAAGTCTTGTTATGGTGTGTTAATCCAATAGAATCCTTGTGTGTTTTTTTAAAAGATATTACAGACAAAATAATAATCAAATTACATTTTGTGCACACCTATTTAACTATATTTAAACTGCCGCAGCCACAACCATTAAACTCTGAAATTTTTTTATAGATATTTTATTACCATAATACGCCTTTATAACTTTCGTATTCAATTAATTAACAAAAAGAAAAAAAATTGGTATGTTGGATTACTTGTTGGAATAAAACTAAGCATAAAGCAATCAGGGGAAACATATAGCTGATTACTTTCATATCTAATAAAACATAGTGGACTTTATAAATTTCCAAATAAACTTATAATCCAGTTTTTTTTTTTTTTTTTTATTTATAATTAAACAGCTACACATGTCTCCTGTCATACCCTTATCTCTACATCTTTGGAATTATTAACATTTGCAGAGGGACACTTTTCTGTTAATTCGTAGGTTATCTGGAGTGAAACCAATTTCATGCGTAAAAATCCTAGGTGGCACTCCAGGAGATGCGTGAACACCACCCCCAGGGTCGGTGGGTTGGGTGTGGTGTGAGTGGGAGGACGAAGGAAGACGCTGCATCTTATTGGTGGTGAATCTGGCCCCACACAATTTCCCTCTTTCTATTTATTTCTTTTTGCCCCCTTCACCACCAACCCACCGGTGAACACCATTTCATACTCTGGTGGGTTGAGTATGGAATGATGAAATATCTATGTGGCATCCCAAACAACGCGTGACCATTCCATATGGCCTTAATCACAGGTTATAAGTCGTTTGGTTATAATCAAGGTTTTCATCGGAAAATGTGTAGGATTGTTCACTCAATAAACCATATATCAACGTCAAAATTCCTCACGATACAATCACTTATGAGATTAATGTAGAGGTTTTTGTTAAAAAATTATAATAATATATATAAATATTATAATTTACTAAAAATTAAGGTGGCTGCTACACGTTTATGGAGTTGCAACATGTTATTCAATTCAAGATTAATAGTCATAAAACGTCATTGTTATTAGAGTTTAATGGTTATACTAAACCTTTGGGTATAAATTGTGCATTGTCCTCAACATACAAAGACACACCAATCTCTTGCATAATCTTTGATCCCCATCATCATAGATTGCTTAAAGAAATACTAAGGTCTTTGTTGAGGAAGACTATTACACACGAGTTCTACTTTGTCGTCCAAATTCCGCATCAAAAAGACGACAAAAGTAATCAATGGATAAAAGGTATGTATTTCTTTTAGATATGGGTAATTCATTAATATGGTTCGATCTGGGATTTATATTATCTTATGCAAACAATTGGTATCAGAGTCATCATATTTTTTGGATCGATTTAAAGTAAGTTTTTTTTTATTCTAGTATGTTTGGATTTTAAAAAAATCACATACATGATTTGTGACAAAATCTTCTAATAACTATATTTACCAAAAGTTATAAACCAAATGCAATTTTTTTTTGTGTGCACGCTTAGTTTGTTCAATGATAACCTTCCATATATTTATCTTGTGGTGTTTTTTCTCTTGAATCTTGAGATGTCATGTTATGACAATTTTTTCATGGCTCGTTAGGTTTTTTTGTTCTTATATGTCTTGAGAATGTCATAAGTTTCGGATTTAAAAACACCACCATTAAACAATGCACCTTTGTTAAGATGGTACGTATAACAAGTAATTAAATCAACCCCATCAATTAATGAGGAGAACATCGATTATATATAATGGATTTACAATAAATACACAATAATATTATCCACTAATACCCCCCTTCAATCGAAACGGTGGTGGTCCTAGGTGTAGCATGGTACGAAAAGTCTCGAACTGAGAACATGAAAGACTTTTAGTGAAGATATCGACCACCTGAAGATTGGTTGGAACAAATTTTGTGAAGAGTTTGCCTGAGCTGACCAATTCCCGGATAAAGTGATAGTCTAAATCAATGTGCTTGACACGTTTATGTGAGCCTGGATATTGTGTCATAAAAAAGCACTCTTGTTATCACAAAGAAGTGTAGGTCTATCTGGAGGAAGCGCATGCAACTCTCTTAAGAGATGAGTAATCCATACTATTTTAGCAGCAGTAGTGGCCATTGCCCTATATTCAGATTCACAACTGGACCATGAGACAGTAGGTTGCTTTTTAGCACTCCAAGACACAAGATTCCCACCTAGGTAAATAGAGTAGCCATATGTAGAGCGACGTGTGTCTAAGCAACGAGCCCAATCAACATTAGAGTAGCCAAGTATGGAATTTTTGTGAGGCCGACTGTAAGTGAGACCAAAGGAGATGGTGCCTTTAACATACCGAAGAATTCGTTTAACATATTGAAAATGATCAACCATTGGGACTTGGAGATATTGAGAAACTTGATTAACCGTGTAAGACAAATCTGGTCGTATGATTGTCAAATACTGAAGAGCCCCGACTAAAGATTTATAGAGAGTTGGATTCTTAAAAGGCATACCATCTGTTTGAAAGGATGCATGGGGAGGTAGAGGTGTGATCATGGGTTCAGAATCATAAAGATCAGCCCTTGTGAGAATGTCTCTAGCATACTTTGATTGAGTGAGAAAAAAACCATTATCTGGGTAAGCAACTTCAAGGCCCAATAAATAACTAATATCACCAAGATCTTTGATGGCAAACTCGTGATTTAAACAAGAAATAAAATTGGCAATAATAGTCTTATCATTTCCTGTAAGAATAAGATCATCCACATATACGAGTAAGTACATGATGCATGAGACATTTGTGAACACAAAGAGAGAAGTGTATGCATGAC